CTGCAGTCATTTTCTCTATCCCTACGCCCTATCTCAGTAAACTTTTCCAGAGCGCACTCTTTCAGAATTTGTTCGAAGAACGCCCTAGTTTAGAATTCGTTTTTGAACCAAATTCTGAGATAGGGCGTTTTACAATCAAATTCTGAAATAAGGCGTTCTTCAACCAAATTCTGAAGTAGGGCGTTCATGAAATTTTTTCTGAGATAGGTCGATCTCCACTCACCCGTCGAAATATTCTTATCCTCCAAACTTAATTTTAGACTATTTTTTATTATGAATTTTTTTCAAAAGATATGAAATATTCTGAACTCGAATAACCTTGCGTTCTTAAAGTAAAATATATTATTAAAATTACGGTCATAAAGTTGAAATTGAAATTGTCCAAAATAGATTACCTTCATACATACATACATTATCTTTCGTAGGCAGATTTTTGTTTATACTTGTCGGCTAATAGGCACACCACCAGTGTTTAGTTCTATGATTAGTCTGTTCTATTTTTTGTTAACCAATTTCGTTTTACATCTACAACTCCACATCACGTAATCCTTCTTCTTGTTCTACATCACGTAATCCTTCTTCTTGTTCTACATCACGTACGCAAATATTTCCCTTTGCTGGGCCAACCAAAGCCTGGCTTACAATAATCGTTTAACAGCGTGGACCACCAAAAGAGCATAAATAGAGCAACTAAATAACTGGCCGTAGGAGAATAACACTGACAACTTCTCTGATTTATGAACTTAAGTAGTTCACTTGACTTTACTTGGCGCGAGTTCCTGCACGTCACCTTAGGGGCAAAATAACGAGCAAACACACACAAACACAAAATAGAAATAAAAATATGTAAACCAAATAAACCAAGCCAATACAGAGATTGACTGCGCTTCTCCAAAATGCTGATGCATTCTTATCAACTGGAAATTGTATGCATTGCATCCTTTCACTTTGCGCTAAGCAAATACACACACACACACAGACAATCTGATAAACAACAACATACAAGCACTTAACAGCCATTGATTAAAAAAAAACTGGAAAGCAATTTCAGAAAACAAAATGTTGTTGCATACAACAGCCGCCACCTGCGGCAGCGAAAGGCGAATTTAGTGTTTTATTTGGCTCTAAATTTAAATTGCTGAACAGTACTGTCGCGCATGCGTCTTGTACGAGTACCAAATTGTTTGTGTGCATTGCAAGAATTTTAAGACAGAAATTGTACTGAACAAAAAAAAAACGAGGAGATAAAAGAAAATGAAAACAAAACGTCTGCGCACCTTTAATTGCACCCTTTGCGTTTCAGTCCGCACGTTCGGCTGCTATACTCAGTGTATTGCATTACACAGCATATTAGCATCTCCTTGCACAGCTGCCACAAAAAAAGAAAACAAAAAAAGAAAAAGAAATAAATTGAAAACAAAAAATTACGCATGAAAGGGCGCGCACACACGGCACCTTATGCCCCGACACGTACCGACAACGCCTCCCATTTTGTTTTTCTTTTTTTGTTTTATGTCTGACTTGTATTTTTGATATCTTTTCTGAATGTCTTGGTCAATTGATGAATGGCGTCTGCACGCAGCCGGTGATGACCTTCTCACTGCAGGCGTCCGTCGCTCTGTGGCGTAACTCGAAATAATTTTTTTTTTTACCGCATACCAGGCTGCCTCTCGCGCTTACCTGGATTGCTAGCAGCAGCTGCAATGCCTAGAATTCTGGCAATATGGCCCAGAATTTTCGCAAGCTATTCGTGATCAACGCGCAGGAGTTAGTAAAGTAGAGATTTTCTGATCAGCTAGATAAGGGTCGTTCTCAATGAAAAATGTCACTAAGGGCCAGTTTTTTAGTGCCACTTTAAACTTACATTACGTATTCTGCGTTTATATTGAAAAGCTGTCTGACCATTCATAGGCTAATCTTAGTTTAAACCAGCTAGCTCGAGCACTTAAGCTAAGTTTAAACCAAAGCCATGCACTGAAAAACTGAGCATAAAGATGGCGGAATGCCGAAACCGGTTTGTCTCCAATACGAATTTAACAAGGGATAACGGAAATTCGTTCCACAACACATCATACGCTTACCTTGTTGGAAATACCAACAACGGAAACTAAATATCCGGGCAGGAAGCAAACTTGACTCAAATTCACTCGGAATTAAATTGCAGAACCTGCTGGATTATTTGTACAATGCTTTGCTTTTAGGCGTACTTTCCGCTAAATACTATCCAAATACGTAGCTCTCTAAGATATGCAAGACCAGAGCAAATGAAAACGCCATTTACTCTGGTATAAACACTTCAATCTGATGTTGATTCTTATAGAACCAACCTATGCAAGTCGGAGAATGTTAGTCGGGAGATACTGCTCTATCTTCTTCTTACAAGTTAGGCAGCAGAACCCTTTCTTGACAAATTTACATAGATCTCTTCCAACTAGGAGACATATGATGGACCGCAGGCTTTTAATGGCACAAACGTAGTCAAACGCATACAAATACAACATTAGTTTTAGAAGGCCAGAATCGTCATGATCACAATGGACGATCATGTTTTTTCTATCTGCCTATTCTTAGTATGAATAACATTGGATGGAGGTTTTGATCTCAAGAAGCTATAGATCCGCATATGTAAGAGGTTAAGGAATTTATTCCTTTCAAATATTTTAATAATTTCCTTTTGAATTTGAAGGAAAATACGCTTTGGCAGAGACAGGACAGAGAAGAGGGTACGCAATTGACTAACCTTGAACTTATGTATATGTTGTCGGCCAAACCCTACCTTAGGACAACCTACTTTTGCCTGGGCTAAACTATATTAGGCGCCACAGTGTTTTTACGCAGAACTCCTTCGGCCGCGCTCAAAAAAATAACCCTCATCAGTCGAAAAGCCTTAAGTTACGTTAAGCTTCGGCTGTTCAATTATAATCAGCATACATTAACAGAATTTTTAAGTGAGAGCCGTAAGTTACGTTAAGTTGCCATAATCGGATCTAGGTATAACTAGTTTAGCCTAGGAAAAATTTGGTTGCCCTGAGATAGGGTCTAGCGAACTGCGGAGCCGCATAACTCCGGTCTCCTCTGGCTTTCTAAATTTCTCTCGTTGTCGACGTGCTTATAGGATAGCTGTCTATTTGCTGTGGGTATGTCTCGCTTCGCTAAGGGTAAGTAATTTTGCGACCACCTCATCTCCTATTCCTATGCTGGCCTCAAATATTGAGCAAAACATGACTGCTCTGGCAACATGTTGCAAAAACCATGCTTCCAGCAACATTTTAGTTTTTTTGAGAGAGAAAGAGAATAGACAAATAAAATGCGAATTACAAGACTCACAGCACAAGTTATTTATATATTAAATTCCGGTTGTAGTGTAAGCCCATTTAAGTTAAAAATCTTTGCAGCCCAACAAAAATAGGAGCAAGAAAATGTTAAGCAGTCACCTTCACCACCACCACCACCGCCACCAACAGTCAAGCAAAAAACAACCGTCTCGGCTGCTGCGTGCGTTTACCATACAGCAAAATTTAGGACTACTCCTTTCTTGACTGTAACCGAACTACCACAAAATGGATGCAGCGCAAGACTGCACTGTCTTTAATGTTTATAATTTCTTGTTTATTACGACTATCGAGGTATGTGAATCTTCCAAGATTCGAGCAGCGAAACTACGGATTTCTAAGCGAGGGGTCTGGCCTATCCTTCTTGTTTATCGTCCCTGGATGGCTTTAGTTATAAGTTTCTGCAGAGCGTGGCAATTGCCGATTGGCGGGACATCGTCATTAAAAAAAAAAAATTCTAGAAGCAGTATCGTCACCTTTGCGCCTGCTTAGCGACCGTTTTGAACTAGTTCGATTTGCTGCAAGGTATACATAAATACATATATACAAGAAGCAACACAAATGTGCACAAAATACGGCCTAGTCGATAGTTGAGAGCAGGGATGGAAAAATATAAAATTGTAGGTACCAAATTTGTGGGGAAAAAATGTAGCTTCAAGTAGATAACAGTAGCTTAAGAATAAATAAAATTTTTTGTATATGGTGATACAAGGATTATGCAGATATTTGACACCAATTATTTATAATATGCTAATGTTTTACTTCTTATTTTTTTTCAGACAATTCGTACTACAGATCTTGACAAACTTAGTCATTGAGCGAAACTCAGTTGAACAGCACGTAAAAGTGATCCGAACTTTGATGCCGATGCCATACAGCGCATTCAACTATAGCCCTATTGCGAACATCTGCGGTCTCATTGAATCAAATCATACGTAGGAGAACCTTTCGATAACATTTGGACTCACATTAAACGTTGGACGTTGGAAGTAGGTAAGGGGTATATTCGAGCGAATAGAGGCAAAACCATGTTTTAAAAAAGGTGAACGCTTTAAAACGAAATATTCGCTGTCTATCTGCCATTGAAAAGCGGATTTGAGAACAAGGTTTTATCGTCGGTTCCAGCTATGATGTGGTACGTATATACATAATAAACTGCACCAGTTCAGCGTTATCAATTATCTGTAAGAAAAAAGAAAGGCTTTTCTCTAGAGTTATTTGCATGTACCTAAAATCGAGTGTTTGTACCGAATATACTTTCAAATTAAAGCTTTGTATCTAGCTCTTAAGAAAACGTCCAAGAAAAAATTGACAATTATTTCGTGTGTGTGTGAATAGAACTGTCCAAGGAATTTTGATGTCGGATATTTCATAGCGTGCTGTCCAACTCTTTCCTCAAGAATAATGCAAACATGGGTTGCCCTGTGCTCTTTTTTCACAAAAACTTTAGAAAAGCGTAGCAAATATCTTAAAAACTGCATACTGCTTTACAGAAATTTGACACCAGAAATTTTCTTCGCCATTTCTTAAGCGTTTTTTTTTATGAAAAGTCTATACTTTTCTTGCGAGCTGGATACCAAGCTTTAAATAGGACCGAAAAAAGTACAATTGTACCTACTTTTCCATCACTGGTCGAGAGTTTTGTTTACCTTAGCGAGGGGGCGCGTTCGTTGCTTCAGTCATTGATGAGCTGTCGGCGGATATCGCAGGTATCTCAAAGTGAGCGCAAAGTCGGAATTACATGTAAAAGTGGCTCAGACACTCTAGTCGTGTAAAGTTAATAGCGGACAGTGGTGAGAAGTGAAAGAGAATTGCATTTGTTATTGCTTTTGTTTTTCACTGATGCGAGGTGAGGTGGGTGTATTAGAATATTACAGCTCGTGAAATGAAAAGAAGAAAAGAAGGTGTAAATTTTAATTGTAGTTGTTGTTGCAATTTAAGTCACGGATATTTTGCATTACTTGCTTTGTGCGCAGAAGGTTTTTGTTTGCAATTTCCGTGTGTTGTGTGTTTTTTTTTTATTTAGTCTTCGAAGTTGAATCTTGTAATCGTTATAACAACGTTTTTTTGCTTTCATTACGCATTTCTTACGATTTTTATCAATTGCGTGTATCTAAACATTGCATTTATCGCACTCCGCTGCTAGTATCAGCTGCCTCTGTTGTTGTATATCTTGCCTTCGCATCTGAGCTGACACAACAACAACAAGAACAACAACAATAATAAAAGACACTGCAACTATAGTTATTCAGAGCATCATCCATTAATACAGAACTGCAACTGGTTGGAGTTGAAGGCGGCAGCTGTTGCATTCACCGGTGCGTTTTTGCTCAGCACAAACGACAGTCTGCTCGCACGCGTCGCGCTTGCAACAACGTCTCGAACGGAGAGTTTTACGAATGCAAATAAAAAACGGTCGTGTGGGAAAAATATTTTATTTTACTAAAACCAAAAAAATTTAGTTATTAAAAATGTTTAAAGAAGAAGTTAAAAGAGAAGGTAAAAAGCAATACATTAAAACCGTGTCTAAAATTCTGACAAAAATTTTGGAAACCGTGTTCAAAAGCTGTGCGGCTATGAACCTAGACACATAAAAAGTCCGAGGATCATTGTTGCTTTAATATTTGATTTTTATTTATGTGTAAAAATTATAACAACAAATTTTTTGATGTTAATTTTTTTGCTCCAACCGATGTGGGTAATGAAAAATGCATGAAGCTAATTAAAAGTCATTCTACAATTATATTTAGTTAATTATAACTTAAAATTGCATATTGTTTTTAAACTTCAAATTCTGTGTGAAAATTTGAAATCATTTCTTGAACTTTTTTTTAATGCACTTTTGTATTATTTTTGTACGTGCATTGCGCGCCCAATACCCAGCTTGGCAACTGTGGGAAAAATATTTTTTCGCGTTAATACGGCTCAGTTTTTATTTCTTATTTTTTTCACCAAAGCCTTTTTGAGGCAGGTGCGTTAACTAATGATTTTCGTTACCACATTTGTAGATTTGATCGCTCGCAGTGGATCTGTTATTTTTTTGCTGTTGTTGTTTCTGCACTTAAAATGCAATTTATTAGCAGCCAACTTCGACTAATGAAAATGTTAAATTGCAACAAAGCGAAAATGTGGCTAAAATGTCAGTTGTCAACTGTGCTTGTTTTTTTTTGTTTTATTGCTCATATTTTTTGTTTGCAAACGCTGTTCGTTATAAAGTTTAAAGTCGTAACTATATTTTTTCTATATTAAAATTTTTCTGTTAGCACAAGTGTTTTAACAGTAGTGTGTTAAATACATACTTTTCTGGCGTCATTTAAAATTTTTTTCTTTATTTAAATTTTTATTACTTTTTTATTATTGTTGCGGTTGCCTTTTTGCTGTGTTGTTTTCGCATTTATTGTTTACTAATATTTTTTCTATTGATACTCTTGAATTAGTTTACATTTCGCTAATTAGTCTCTGTGGTTTCAGCTGGCATATTAGCTTGTATGGTATCAATAAAGTCTTAATTTTGAGTTTTGCTATTAATTAGGGGAAAATATGCAATGAGCGTTTGATGTAATTTGGATCGTGTTGTGAGCTAAATATTGATGTTGATTAGAGCTAGAAAGCATTTCGAGAAATGTGACGACGCAATTTTTTGTAGCGGTGACACATGTACGGATATTAAATAAGCAATTCAATACTTGAGAAAAAACAATGCTTAGTGAAAAGGCTCGAGTAAATGTTATAAATATATATCTACTGCAATCGACAAGATCGTGAGGAAATGAATATGTTTGTATTGTTGAATATAATTTGCATAAATATGTGAATCAAACAAATTCCTAGCTATGTAGCGGCTGCATTTCACACTATTTTCACATGATTTTATCCAAATGCTTTTTTTTTAATGAGCATTGTTATATACTTTCATCTGTCAATCGTTGAAAAGCTTCGGATGAGAATCGCTTTTGATAACGACCACGGTTAAAGTTAAAAATATTTTTAACTCACTTACAGCAAAAACAAGACAATTCTTAAAGTTTTAAAATTGCAGACAATATGACTGTTATGAATCATCCCTTAAAATCTATTTGATTTCAAATGACACTTAATTTTCCAATTTGGTATTTACTTTCTAAAAATATGTAATATTACATATTTCAATATATTTTTGTGAAATCTCTGGCGTGTATTATTTTTTCATCACTTAGTTTCTAAACTTAATACAACTGATTTATTTTATTTTAGAATTGTACTTTTCTTTACATTACATTTTATTATTAAATGGGCCTCTTTCGAATAAGAAAATTACAAATTTTTTGGCAATTTTATTTTTTTATTTGGCACTTTTTTATCCTAATATGGCACCTTATTACTAAGTATAGTTGGCTGCCCTGCCAACAAGTGCTGCCTTGGCTTAACTAGGTAATTGAGAGTGAGAATTCCTCTGTCTTCGCACAAAAATTACCTCCCATAAGTCCCTAGAAAAAAATTCTGCAGAAGATTTACGGATGAAAAATACCGTAGACTATAGAATGACGAGCTCTCTGCGCATTACAACGACGTAGATGTTGTATAGCCATTTGGAATATAGCGCTTCCGCTCGCTTACTCATATCGTACAAATAGACACAAATGCTCCAGCACTGATAGTATAAACGTGTAACCCGCTGTAACGACTGGCTTGTTTTATCGAACTTGGTCAAAATCGCTTGTGCGGTTACAGCGCTAAACAAGTGCAGCTCTGGTTATGTTACACAGATATAAGAGTTCAGTTACATTAAGAAGAGATCTTTCTCAATGTACGTAGAAAACTTTAGAAATCATCTCCCATATCAAACCCTAATCAAGCCAATCATGGAATATGGGGTCCTTGTTAGGAAGCTAGAGCGTGTGCGAAGGGTGACCCTTCTTGAGCTCACCGGAGCGCTCCGAACCACTCGCATTCTAGCACTAATTGCTATGCTCAGTGTCGCTTCTGTTGACATTTCGGGCAAAGTAGCGACGCTTCGCTCAGCTATTGCACTCAAAAGCTTTGGGCTATCTTTCAATCCAGCATAGGGACACTCGATAGTTTTCAAAAGCTTCGACTTCTTACTGGGAGAAATGGGGTCCTTCATCAAAAAAAATCCCTCCAAGGGGAGATCGGCAGTCTCTGGAGTAGAAGTCCTTCACGGACGGATCGAAGCTGGAACTCTCAATAATCTTCGTAATAATTCCATATCAAGCAGATTTAGGTCCCGAGGCACAGAGACATCACTGGAAATTGTAGGGCTGATGAATTGGCTAGGCAGTGCACCCTCCTGGAAAGATGAACACTGAGTAAAAACCCCGACATGCAAAGTTGCAACGCCCCTTTGGTCGGTTGTAGTTCGCAGGGATTTCTGCAGCTGGCAAAGCGCCATCTCTCGATTCTGACAGGTTTACTGACCGGATATTGTCCTTTGACTTAATATCGTCACGGATCCCTACTGCCGCAGCTGTTTAGAAGACGAGGTGGTATTATCTCAGCGCTTCGTTTTCAACAGCAAGGAATTCGCTAGACTAAGGCTCAAACATTTCGGTCCACTTTTCATCAACACTCCCGAGAAGTTCTCCGGTGTGGACATCAACTGCCTGCGAAACTTTGTGTTGGGCAAAAATATTGACCAATGGAATCATATGTCCCGCTACAAAGTCGAGCTAATCGAACACACTTTGTACAGAGTCACATTCTTGCCGAGTTTTAAAAGGTCACATTTTCTAGTTGAAGGGACTGGAGAAGAGGCAGGAATATTTCAATGTCAACTACAATAATCGGTTTAGAATAGACTCTGGTGTGGTATTATCTGCGACGCCAGATGCCTCTCTCGTACCTATTTTATCGTCTACTCATCACAATACATCTTTCAATCGCAAGGATTCCGGGAAGGCCAAGGAGGCCTTGGAGGTAAGAACTGTATGTGCTCTCTCTATGGCCACATTGAGCATATGCTGTTCATTCGTCGACTCAAGTCGCAAGTAAAATAGTTCTTCTCAGCTGAAAAGCAGAAACGGTCTCCCAGATGCCCAGCTTATGCAGATGTTCTCTGTCCTCTGAATCTGCAGTTTACAGTGAGGATAACTGTAATGATTCTAAGTTTATGGTTGGGGCGGCTTATTAAAAGCTCACATCTTTTTAGATTATACCCAGTAAGCTTTTGGCCTGGCGAAGCCCTCTCTACTATGCCAGTATTGTTCCCTCCTACATAATGTTTCTTTTCTAAGCACTTTTATAATAGTGTTAGCACCTATTGCAAGGAATGTCTCGGGACCTATTGTTCTGTCTACGCCGTCCGCTATCTCACGGAAGTGATTATTTTGATTAACCCGAAGATTTACTGTTTTATTCATCAAAAGCGAAATGCATTTACAGTTCAAAACGGTGAATACGGGAAACTGACAAGTGCGCAGCTAAAATTCAATGTGGCGGCTGCAATATCACAGTAAGCGAACGATCGAAGTTTAGTTAGACGAAGTCTCCAAGTGTTCTATATCCAACATAAGCTGATTAATCGACGAATATAAAAGGTCAACGCACCTGAAAATAGTGCCCCAAATGTTAATTGGGCGCTGAATACAGATTCAGTCACCGCTACGACCAGACAACCTACTGCTATATACAGATCTCGTCCACCCCTTTCCCAGACTAAAAGCGCAGTTACCCACGGACGTAAAAACGGAGAACGTGTCAGCTGACACGATCTGTCTTATGGGATCTGCGTGTTAACAAAAACTCACCACCGCATGACCGTGACGTAGACGTTGCTTCTCTCTCTTTCTATCAACAGCATACTTGATATCTTTCTACGTACTTCTACGCTACGCTACGTACACGTTCGTGGGTAACCGCGCTCTTAAGATCACGACGACATAGACCGCTGTAGAAGCGTTTTTGTGTTATATTTTAAAATAAATTTATTTTTTATTTCCTCTGCCCTTTTTACATATCATACCCTGATTATATTATCAATTTAACGAGTGCCAATTTCTCTCCTATAAAAACTTATAATATTTTCACTACGCACTGCTGTGCAAAATCAATCATGTAAACAAGTGCTCACAACAAAAAGGCAAAAACAAATCTAACAAAACTCTAAAATTAAAATGCAAATCTTAAAAGCGACCTTAACGTCGGGTTGAATAAACAAAAAACACTTTACTTTTCTATTTACAGCTCAACAACAATAACAACAAAACTAACAACCGCTCCAACAGTGAGACAACAAGCCAACAACACTGGTAAAACAATGCAACAAAGTGTTGCCAACAGTCGACTAATTAACATGCAACGAATGTGATCAACGTGCGCGAATATTCACAAGAAAAAAGTAGAAAAAAGCGAGAAAAACGACACTAAAAAGCGCAGAACACACACAAATAGCACGAAGTGTGCATTGCAGATCGTAAACCGCCGCTGGCGGAAAAGTTACAATGAGTCAATGTGAGAAAAAAAGCGAAATAAAAAAAAAACGGTCATAGGGAAGACTGCGGCATTTGCTAAAACATAAACACCATTCGTTCGGTGGCAGGCAAGTAGTATGCGCGGCGATAAAACGTGAATGCATAATGAACTGAAAGTGCGGCAGTATGTAACGTGCAACGTGCAACATGCAATATGCGGCAAACAAAATAGCAAACGATAAAAGATTGACAAACAAAAATATCGCTTACAAAATCAGCAACAACAACTACGGGAAGCAACAATAAATACAACGAAATTCATTAGCAGCCTGAGCAGAGTGACAACATTAACACCAACGATTGCCACAAAGTCCAATTGCACCAAAAAATACCTAGCTGAAATCGTAGAAACAACAAAAGAAAACACTTAAAAAAAAAAATACAAAAAGTCTTCATTATCGATATCGGCTGTGGCTGCGTGCACCCTGTTGCCACCTCCGGTCGCACTGACAGCCGTTGATAGTCGTCGTTTAGCCGCCAGACGTTCGCGCACACCATCAGTGCCACCACCAACACCGCCGCCGTCAATCCTCAGGGTATCTCGTTTATCCCAGCTGTGGCAAGCGCGAAATCGCGGAGTTGGCAGAAAAATATTTTATTTATTTATTTATTGCGCTTTGTAGTTGGTGTGTATGGCGTTGTTGTTGCTGTTGCATTAATTTTCTGTAGAGTGGCTTCACCAATGAACGCTGCTGCTGTTGCTGCTGCGCCAGCGGGTATCCATCGCTCCGTTGGTGCTAATTAAGCTGCAGCGAATTTTTGTTTATGCGACTGGTGATATTTTTTGCAGATGTTGCTGATTGCTGGCAATTAAAGTGGCGGAAAATTGAAATAACAAGCCAAACCAAAGAAGAAGAATAAACATTTGTTCGAAAGTAAATACGAAAAAAGCGTAAACGCTGTCCTGGGACTTTTATAAAAATGAAAAAAAGTTCAGGAGGAAACAACAGTGGTGGCGAGAGCATATTTGGCATAAAATAAAAAGATTTCGGTCAGTTGAAATACACTGCAAGGGTACGAGAATAAAACATATGTATGAATTGAATAAAATTGCAATTCACTGCTTAAAATTAGCAGCTGCCAGAAAGCCACAAAACTTTACTTTCAGTCGAAAACTGTTTGCATTGCACTTCGAAGAGTCAAGCTTTTGGCAAGCAGATATAAGTTGCAGCAATCGCTCACAAAACTCAAAAAGCAGCAGGCCGGCTACAACAACACCAACACCATAGTCACAAGCGTCTTACTGCAAAAGCCCCACCTGCCTAGCGGTACGCGGAAACATTGGCTCTGTCCGTTTGAGACTGCTGGTGCAAGGACTATAAAACTCCAAAAAGGAAGAAGAAGACAACCCTGCAAAAACAAGAAGCAGACACAGCAACATGTAAGTACCGAAAAAAAAAATAAAAATACAAACGTTGTAGTAAATAGTAGCAAGGAAATTCCAAAATTTAGATTTTTCTTTGTATGTAGGATCACTCTAATGTGAATACGTACATACATACATATATATTTTGAAAACGGTTTTTACTTATGTCTTCTACTTTTTATTTGCTAAATAAGCCGCATAAAATCATGCAGTAACAATTTTTTTTTTACATTCCTTGTTTTGATATATGCGTTAACGGCCTGAGTCCACTGCAACAGCAACAATCGCTCAGTTTTATTGCAACATTTTCTTGCATATTGTTTTTGTTGTTTGTTGTTGGTTTGGGTTGCCTGTTGTGTTGCTTTCTCAACAAGTTGCCAATTTTGTATATTGTAAATAGAAATGTTGTACTACATTGTTGTTGCAATCGCTTGTTGTTACATACATACATACGTACCTAAATGTATGTACATTAGGGCGGGTTGATTTGTATGGATGAAAAAAAAATTAAAAATCGTATAGCAAAAACGTAATCTACATTAAATTCTACGAAAATTCTCTGAAGAAACCATGGGTCTAAAATCAAACCCTAATCCGCGCCTCTCGACTTGAAAATTTTTTTCCTCTTCTTTCGCTAAAATTATTTTCTTTTTTTGAAATATATTATGTTTTATTATATTTTATTATAGTTTATGCAATACAGGGTTTGTTTTGAGACTAATCAAAATATTCAATTATCAAAAAAGCAGTTGAACCCCAATTTGCATCTCCTCTGATTTGCGTTCTATACAAAAAATTGTTAGAAGTTAGTTTTTTAATGAAAAAAAATTTTGAGTGTAGAAAAAATATAAAGTGCAAAAGAACTACCTTACTAAACAATTTTATTCAGAAAATTCGATTTCTTTTTGGAAAAACCTATTTTTTCTAACATTTATTTTTTTGGCAAAGGCGGCCATATAAATTTTCAAGTCGAGAGGCGCGGATTAGGATTTTATTTTAGATACATGGTTTCTTCGGAGAATTTTCTTAGAATTTTATGTAGTTTACGTTTTTGCTATACGATTTAAAAAAAAAAATCAACCCGCCCTAATGTACATATATCTAATACAAGCCAATGTAAAATGTTGTCTTTTGGTCATTTGTGGTCACTTAGTGGTCGTCCTTCTTGCTTTCTCGCTTCTGCCTGTAGGATTTTCATTTTATTTTCTCTCATTGCGTCTACGACTGAAGGCTGTTCTAACCATTTTTGTTACGCTGTTGCCTTGTTGGTCTGGTATTTAGGTCATTCGTGCAATGTGACAATGTGGAATGGAGCAGATATCCAGATATATGTTATGAACTCTGGCGTTGCAAGTAGCATTGGGAGTTCGATAACATTGAATTGTGTTGGCAAATGAGATGTAGGTTTAGGATGGCAATTAGTTTTGATTGCGCAGCCCGCTTCTGATTGAGCTAGATGATCGCAAGTCTATGTCTAGTTGCAATAGGTCCAATTTAATAAAAAAGTCCTCAGGACGAAAACAAGAGCAGTGGAGGGATATAGTTTAACGGGATTCCAAAGGACAATGCTGTTATTTTGTCAAACGAATGTGGTGAAACTTTCCAGGAGACGCGAGAGAAAGCTATGTCTAATTATGTGAAGTGGTAAATCATTAGGCAGTTCTTTCATACAAAAGGAAGTCAGGCCTGGACCACTTATATCGATATGACTGTCTGTGGAAATACAAAATTCACGGGAAAGATGGCTTCGAATTCAGAAGAATGAGAACAGTAGGACAACCGAAGAGTACTTTGGGAAACAACTCTCTTGGAGTCTCTTATGAGACTATTTCTCAATGTTAATTTCCATATGTGAAAGCTAAACTAGGTGATGACAGTTTTTTATATTGTAGAAAGTTCTAAACCCTTAACTCCTACCTTAATCGGCCTTTTTGACTCTTATTTTGAAAAAGTTCAACTTAAGTTCGATTGTCAGATAGAGGGTTAAAATATACTACACAAATGTGAAACAGGAAAAGTTCATTGAAAATAGCCCTCTTACTATTCTGATAAATACTACTTAAGTTAATATTTTTACTGCTAAAACAGCTAAAAGTTTACTTCCGGTTGCGCAAATTCTTACTATATAAGAGTTTTTTTTTGTAAGCTCGATATCTACGTATTTTCTTGATCACAAATTATATAAAATTAATGCAAAATCACTACTTTGAATCGCCAAGACCGCCCACGTCAAATAATAGTCATCGCCGGCGATTAAATTAAATACTATGCACGGCTTGTGCCAAATAAACGCCCCCAAGTCTGAATTGAAAAGCTCTAGATTTCCATAATTGAAGGTTGCCAGTAAGAGAGGTAAGAGGGACAGGCAGTAAGTAGCAAGCGAATGCAAGACTAGTAAATGTATGCCAAGGAGTTTATGTGCAAACATACAAGAAATATTAGTCCACGATGTTGGAGAATGCCGATAAATAATAATATGTAACCAGAAATGGACACGAAGATCTCTCCACTAGCTTGCCATCTCCGATACACAAACTCAGATGGCTGTTTAATAAATAATTATAGCCCAACCTATTTACTAATTATAGTTTTTAGGCATAAAGAAAACCAAAAGTGTATATTAGTGCCCTGCACTGTTTCTCAGTAGAAGAATATGCATGCTACTAGCGATGTTACGGACCTTCGAGTTCGATTCCGAAAGGTCCTGTTTTTCTGTCTGCGCGCACGCATTGCTGACGCCTTGCGCAGAGAGGAAGTAAGAAGCCGCAGCATGCGAAGCACCGCCAGCCGTCACCAAGGCTTGGCGCACACCTTCAACCAACGCGACCAGCAGCTACCGCAGCTCAGACATCGCATACTTCAGCTTCCGCAGCAGTAGCAGCAGCCGCCACCAACAGGCAACTACCTACTTACTTACATACATATTACGGTCGTCAACGCGCTGGTGTATACTGCTTTTGGCAGTTGTTGGCGATTGTTGTCGTCGATTAACATCACAGCCGGCAATTACGCGCATTAGCTGGAATTTCAATTTTGCCTCATTTCATTGGCAGCGGCGGGGTCATTGTTGTTGCTCGCTGTCGGCTAATGACGGTTGATTATTTGCTTGACGACTGTTGTGTGCAATTTGTCGTTGTAGCTACCGCCATTGTTGATGTTGCTGCCAGTGTTGCCGTTGTGCGACTAAAGGGGCAATATGCCCCTTTTTAGGCGCCAATACCCTTTGACCT